AACAGTTTTCAGAATTTAGAAGAGCAACTGACAAAAATAGAAAACACTAACAATCCTACCATGTATACCAGCTTAATTACCAGCTACAACAATTCAAGGAAGAGCTGTCCAGTGGCCTAGAGCAACGATCTTCCTGGAGACTTTGGTTTTGTGTAGAAGCTGCTTACCATCAAGTAAACAATGTGGTTTTGAAATAATTTTCAGATGTTTTATTGTTTTTGCTTTAAATCTGTAATGAGCCATTTGAATCTAAAGAAAATACAACTGAATAAGAATTAAAGGAGCTCCTTTACTTTTTACAATTTTTTACCTGGGTAAGTAGTACAAACATTTAAACAGGAGAGTAGAGTTTATAGAAGGGCAAACTCTGGAGAGACTAATAATGGGAAATCTAGTGAGGGTAAAGAAAGGACTTCAGGAAATTTCTAAAGCAGAGCCGGCTGTTTGATTTGCTAGGACTGTAGGAAAACTAGCTGAAAGTGGAAATTAGGAAGGAGACTGTAGACCATTTATCTTAGTTCTACTTTGTTCCTTCTGCTGGTTTCCTATCAACCAGAATCTAAATCTGCTTTGCAAGAGGCAAATCCTAGGTCAACTCTTACTCCAGGGCTCTCTCCTTTTCCATAGTGGTTCTGTGCACCATAACCCTTGCTCACTGATAGGAAATTTCTCTATATCCAGGTAGATCTCCCAGTCACAACCACTACTTGGGTGACTTACAAATTAGTTGTCTGCCTAAAATAATAATAGCCATTATTTTTATGTATCACATGCTGGAATAAGGTCTTTATTTTCATTATTTGATTTTACCCTCATAATAAACCTTCGTTCAAGCCTGCTTAAGCAGTAAGAAATTGTACTGGTTTGTATTTTAAAAAATGCAAAAGCGGTATTGGCTTCAGGCAAGGTGTTATCAGGGTTCTGTTTCCATCTTTCTGCAATTCTACTCAATTGTATGTCTGCTGTATTCTGAAGCTCAATTCCCTGGTTATATGGAATGGGTGCTGGTGGTATTGGGGGCTCCTTATATGCTTTTTTGAAACATTGTGGGGGAGGGCTTCAACAGATGAGTTCTGTGGGGACACATTTCAGTCTATAGTCTTTCATATCTCCTTAGCCATAATCCCTGGCCCAATCAATAGCAAGGAGAATGGGATTCTTATCATTGCCTTAGATGGATCACCTGAGATAAAAAGAATTTGGGGAAGTCAACCACAAAGTATATGGTAAAGTAGGTACACTTTGCAAATGAGGAAACTGAATCTGAGATATGTTAAGTGAACGGCCAAGGTCATGCATATAATGAGTGGGAGAGCCAAGATTTTAAACTTGATTGACTCTAAAGCCTTTGTTCTTTGCAGTCCATGACACTAGTGTCTCTTGTTTGCTTTCCTAATTTGCAGTTTATCTGCTCCTTCTAATTTTAGGCTGTGTCCTCTTTCCATAGCAGTTACCTTGCCCCAGCCTCGCAACCTGAGTGGACAACCCAGGACCCTGAGCTCCATGCCCCACCTTGGGCTGCAGGGATGGAGGGTCAGGCCCAAAATGTGAAAGGAGCCCCAGTGTCCTCTGGACTGCTACTTAAAGACTTTTTACAAAATCCTTACTTTCTGAAGGCGTTTTAAGTGCTCCTTACTTAACTTTTTTGGTGGGATGCCACCCTTCTACTTTCCTGAAATCTCCATCAACTTTTAGATCTCCTAGTACTTGTTCACACCGTTCAAACTGACTGGAGGCCTCTGACTGGATTTTGTGACCCTTCTGCTGGGAAAAAATAGAAATGTTGAAGTAAGATAACCATGATACTGTGATTTATAATGGGAAATATAGATTTGGTCTTCATCCTTGCTTCCGTTTCACAGACCTCCATAAGCTCTTGGCATTTCCTAAGTGATCGGAGGAGCACTGGGAACATCTTTTGTCATACCATTTGGTCTTTTATTCTTCATTCCTGAAATAGCTCGGGAGCCATAATACTGTAAGGAATGTCTTGTTATTCATAACATGCCCCTTTCAACCACACATGAGCTTGTGTTATTGAGGTGACATAAATACAGATGTGTTATTCTAGAGATGGGGGCTGGTTGCCAGGAGAACCAACCATGGTTACAGGATGGAACTTTTGGTCCCACCTTCCAGCCTCCAGGAAGCGGAGAGGGGTTGCAGGTTGAATCCATTGCGGGGCCAATAATTTAATCAATCATGCCTATGTCATGAAGTCTCCATGGAAGCTTAAAAGGACAGGGTTTGGAGAGCCTTCGGGTTGGTAAACACATGGAGGTTTGGGGATAGTGGTGTGTCCAGAGAGAGCAGGGAAGCTCTGCACCCCTTCCCACATAACTTGCCCCATGCATCTCTTCCATCCAGCTGTTCGTGACTGCTATCTTTTTGAAATAAACCAGTAATCTAGCAAATAAATTGTTTTCCCGAGTTCTGTGAGCTGCTCTGGCAAATTAACCAAACCTGAGGAGGGGTTGTGGAAAGTTCCAATTTGTAGCTGGTCAGTCAGAAGCAAAGGTAGCAAGCTGGACTTGTGATTGGCAAGGGGAGAGGGCGTGGGGGTGGGCAGTCTTGTGGGACTGAGACCTATTGAAATAAAACTGCTAGGCCCAAGATGGAGCTGCTTTTGCGTGGGTTGCCACATCAGCAACTAAAACTTGGATAATTTTTGATCCCTGTAAATGCTTGCTTGTCCAGAATCGCTGTATATCCAGCCAGCCAATTCTGAACTGCCAAGAAACTGTAATTATTTCTTTGTTCTAAATAAGGTCAGATATGTGACCTCAACCAATCAACTTAAGGCAAATACTTTTTCCTGATTCTGATGGACCTGCTAGTCTTATAAGGAAATCCCTGACCTCCTAGCCAACCCTGTTTTCACGTTGCCTTTTCTAACATTTTCTAAAAACCGCTCTCTCCCAAACAGCCCTTGGGAAGAGTGCTCCACCACTTGGGAAGCATGGGACTCCCCCAACCATGGATTGCTTTCCAGTGCATAAAGGACATCAAACTTGTCACTAAATTGTTTTATTTTTGTCATTTGACAGCCCTTACTTAACTCATGGGATCTGATAGTATGCCCAGGTTGATACCATCAGGATGGAGTAAAATTGTGGGACACCCTGGTGGTATCCCAGAATTGGTGGGTATATGGAAAACCCACCCCTTTGGTGTCAGAGTGAGGTAGTATTGTCATCGGGTATGGAGAATAGGGGAGACACAGAAGAAGTAGGTTTTTTTTTTAAATTTTTTTGTTTTTTGTTTTCCTTTGCAGACACATGGGTTCAAGCCTTCTCTTCTATTTCCGGGCTGAGTTACTCAGAACAACTTGGTTAAACCTTCTAATCCCCAGTCTCCTCCCTTGTAGATTATGGATACTAATACCCATTTCACAAGGTTGTTCTGAGACATTAGAATCCACATGCGAAAATGTCAGACAAGAAATACGTCCTTAATGAATGGGAAGTCCTACTTCCTTCATAAAATTTCTTTCATCTCAACCTGAACTGGTTACTCCTCGGAACTGTCATAAAAACCACAGCTAACACAACCGGTTTGACTGTTAACAGGGCACTATGTTGTGATAACTCTTCTATTGCTGCCATAGACTTCCATTTAAAACTTGTAACTACTTAACTTTCCAATTAGATTATAAGCAACTTGCAGTCTCTGTAAGATGCAGCACAGGGTCTTGCCCATAGATTTGGAAAGAATACCCAGTGCAAAACTTTCTCCTCTTCAGGCATAGTTAACACTACTTTAATATGCTCAGTAAATACCAGTCATTCTCAGCTATGAGGCAGACAGTAGAAACACGATGTAGGAAAATTATGTCCCCCCACTGCATTTTGAAGGATGGCAGGAGTCATTGTGAATAAGGACACGGACCCATACTGCTATTCTGATGTGGATGTTGTTAGTACTGACTCTGAGATTCTCAGTAACCTCAAGAACAGTCCGTTCAAGCTCCCACGGGTGGTCCTGGGCCAGTTTCCATTTCAGGCTCCCTTTATCCCAGTTTTTTTTTTTTTTTTTTAAAGATAGCTTCTGCCTTGGTTGCTATTGCAAAAGTTGTTTTCCTGGTATCCTTCCAAGAATTCCATGCCAAGAATGACATGATTGTCACTTGTTGTCCCTAGCTGGAACTTCTTGATGATGAAAGGGGGTGCTATTTATATTTACATTAAGGAAACAGGCCTCACGCAGTACTAGTCTAGGCTAACTAACCATCCTTCTATCCTTGTACTGGTGTTTTGCCTTAAGTTTGCTTGTTTTTTCCTTGAGGGCCAAGAAGAGCCTGTCACTGAAATCCAGGCTGGTTGGTGAGTAGAGGTCACCACCAAACAACAGATATCCCAGACATGGATTGCCTTACCTGAGGACACTGTCTTTTGCCCTTCTGGGTAGACTCCTGTGGTCAGCTGAGTCAAAATCTCCCACCCCCTTCCCACAGGAATAGACTGGGTCACATACCAAGATTAGTCAGTGTTTTACTCAGAGAAAATAGCCACATTCCCATGGGATGGGGTGAGTGCTGGTTAACCAATTACCTGGTTAAGGTACAAAGAGTCCTCATATAAGAGCACAATAGACACGGTGCTTTGCACTTAGAGAACTCTTCCATTACCACGTGTGCTGTTATTTACAGCACTCCCAGCCCTGCACGAAGTAGGTCATTGGGTCAGAATGCTTTTGGGGAGTTCCAGCAAACCAGTGTTGCCTTGGCTGTGACTCCCAAGCAACTCCCCACCCACCCCAGCTTTTTTCCTGGGGGTCTCGTCATCTCTGCCAAGTCAAGAACTTGGGTTTTAAAAGCTAAGTGAATTGGTGGATATGCATTTTATAGTGATTCTTGTAAAGTGTAAGTATCTTAAATGAAGCAGTAAACCTTAAATATAATTTTTTGGTCAATTTTACCGAAATAAACCTGAAGAAACAAGCAAACAAACAAAGAACTTGGGTTTTTCTGACTCTTGGTTTTATTTATTTATTTATTTATTTATTTATTTATTTATTTATTTATTTTTGACTCCTAGTTTTAGACACCACTTGATGCCAAAACTTCCCAAGACATCTTTGCCTCTCATTATATTTTCTCCTTGAGGTAAAAGCACTTTCCCTAGAAGGCCATATTAAAATTGCACATTGACTTGAAGGGGAAGAATGTCAGTTAGGACACAGATGATGCCATGGCTTTTGGGTGATCAGAATACTAATACTTCAAAAGTCAGAGTTTTTAAGGTTGGGGGGGCGTTGGTCCCTAGATATGTTTGCCAAAGGGCTTATCAGTATAGTTTCATCTCCTTGACGGTATTTCTGTTAAATAGGAAGATCAGATCAGAAGACTCCAGTTGAAAGACCTTCCTTGAAGTAAGTTCAGTCCCCTTTTCTTGGTCTGTATTGCTTTTCAGTGGTCTTTCTGCTTCTGGAAATTCAAATAAACTCAATTCAATAAGTATTTATAGAGGTTTTGTGCCTGGTATTTTAATAGGCACTTTGTGCATGGTATTTTAATATTAAAACTTTGTGCATGGTATTTTAATAGGCACTGGTGATACCAAGTAGAATGAGACATAGTCCTGGCCTTCAGGAAACTCAAAACTTGGGGACATTGGGGTGGCTCGACAGGGTAAGCATCTGCCTTGGGCTCAGGTCATGATCCTAATGTCCTGGGATGGAGTTCTGCATGGGGTTCCTTGCTTAGCGGGAAGCCTGCTTCTTCCTCTTCCTGCCACTCCCCCTACCCCGCCCGGCTTGTGTGCACGTTCTCTATGATTTGAAAAAAAAACAAAAAACAAAAAACCTAAAAATCTGATGGACCATCTGAGAGAACTATGTACCCCATAAAACTTATCGCCCTCATTGTCAAAACTTCAGAGCTCCCACGTTATTTTTTTTTTTTTGAGATTTATTTGAGTGAGTGTGTGTGAGAGACAGAGCACAAGAGTGACAGGCAAGAGAAAACCGCAAGCAGAACTCCACGCTGAGCACAGAGCCTGACGTGGGGCTCGATCTCACAACCATGAGCTCACAACCTGAGTGGAAACCAAGACTCCAACGCTTAACCAACTGTGCCATCCAGGCACCACACCATGTTTTTTATTTCCTTTCCACTAAAAACAATCCGCCACCCAAGGCTACCTGCTAAAAAAGAACAGATTATACACGCCTCTTTTAAGGAAAAATTCCCATTAGGTTGCAAATGTATTCTAATTCTTTATGTCTTTTAGAGATTTTTTTGGTTGTTGAGTCTCTGTATAAAGTAGATTAAGTACAACTAGATTCACATTTATAGTAAATTCTAATGCATACTTCTTCCCACCTGAAGGAGCCCAAGAAAAGACAAAGATGGTGGAAAGGAATATCACAGCTCTTTCCATAAAGCTGAAAAGCTGCAACCTGCACGGCAGACGTGCTCACTCTGGTTTTCTTCAAAAGACACGTGGGTCTGCATAAGCACCTATGGGCACATTTAGAAGGAACATTAGAAGGAACGTTAGCAAAGGTCTTCTAATTACTAAGTTTCCTGAAAATGGGACGAGGTCCCATAAAGTAGTACATTCCTTTTCACTAACTTTATTTTTTTTAATTTTATAAAAGATTTTATTTATTTATTTGCCAGAGAGAGAGTGCACAAGCAGGGGGAGTGGCAGGGAGAGGGAGAAGCCGGCTCCCCGCTGAGCCAGGAGCCCAATGTGAGACTCTATCCCAGGACCCGGGGATCATGGCCTTAGCTGAAGGCAGACGCTTCACTCACTGCACCACCCACCCACTTTCACTAGCTTTACACAAAGTTGAAGTTAGACAACCTGTTGAAAGGGGTACTATAAGGTTGAAGATGCCTATATATTTTTTAATGAGGCATCTGGGGGCTGCACTCAAGGGAGGGAGGGACCCCCAGAGGATGCTGGGCCAGTTTGAACTGAACATTTTGAAAACCAATTTTCTTGCTGCCCTCTAAAATAGGAGTATGGTATATTTACTGAAAGAAACTCTTCTCTTGGGAGTGGAGGGAACTTGATAAAAGACAATATTATCTTATTATCTATAGGATTACGCAGGTTTGGAAGCTCTCAAGGAAACGAGGATCGCTGATTGTGTCCGCAGGTTTTGTCAACTTAGAAACCCACATCTGTTGGATGAGTGACTCACTTTAGGCTGAAAGGCTGTTGCTTTAAAAAAGAGACACAATCTGGGACATTATTCAAGCATTTAGAGCAGAGTTTAAACCCAGACGGGGATCAGTGCTTGGGTATTCATCAACTTTGCAAATGAAAACAAAATAAGGGGTGTCTGGGTGACTCAGTCGGTTAAGCAGTGGCTGCCTTTGGCTCAGGTAATGATCTGGGAGTCTCATGTCTGGCTTCCTACTCAGCAGGGAGTCTGCTTCTCCCTCTTCCTCTCACCCCTCACCCCACTCATCCTCTCACTCTCAAATTAATGAAATCTTAAAAAAAAAAAGTAACAAAATAAAATGGAAAACAGTCATAGGTATATTTGCCTAGTACATATTTGTGTGAAGATGTACTTTTAATAATGTTGCTGCTAAATTGCTACTGATGACAATTTAGATACAAGTTTTAAACCAATTGCACATTTTCTTCACAGCTGTTTTAAATAGGACTGTATCATTAATTAAAAAAAAAACTGGTCACTGTGGTATTGTGATTTATAACAAGAAATATGCATGTGTTCTTTATCCCCCTTGCTTGCGCCGAGTTCCTAAAATGCTTGGGATTTTCTAAGCTAAAAGGGCAATTAAAGTGTCTTTTGTTACGTTAATGAAATGACTTTCGAAAGCGCCTAAGGAAGCTAGTTGGTTGCGGAATCTATCATCACTGGCCTTTGAGTTCATCAGTAATGTCTATGTAGGACTAAACCTTTAACCTGCGGGATCTGATGCTATCTCCTTGTAGATATGTCAGAATTGATTGATATCCAGTTGGGGTCCCAAGAAATGCTTGATGGTGTGGGGACCCACCCCCTCTGCCAACACTGGAATTAGTATCAGAAGCTATTTAGATACCTTGTAGCCTCTCAAGTATTTACTTGGTTCACTGTCTGGAAAACTAACATTCTTAGATTCAGAAATCTAAGTTATAAAAATATGAGATCTTCCAGTCCATCCCTCCATCATTTATAGAATTGTTTCATCTACATAACAACTGTTCTTTTATGTTTCCTAAAAAAAAATCATAATAATAGCTTATACTTACCCATATTCTGAGCCACGCACTGTTCTTTACATGCATTATCTCACTTAAGAAAGCCTACTTTCAAAAAAAAAAAAAAAAAAAGAAAGCCTACTTTCCAGGTTAACAATCTTAAGGAGAAAAATAAACCTTTTTCTTTTATAAGCAGTTCATATGTCTGTGATATATATAGCAGAAATGATCTTTCGTTTTTTGTTTTTGTTTTGTCTTGGTGTGTGTGTGTGTGTGTGTGTGTGTGTGTGTGTGTGTGTGTTTCTCAAGGGGACTGTCGTGCTTCCCTTTTCTTGTGTCTCATCTCAGAAGCTTCAGAAAAGGGAATTGATTCCAAGACTCCTAATACTCACTGTATCAGAATCTCTGCCCGCAGAGCAGTCCTCCTCTTCCGTTTCTCGGTTCTCTGTCACTGTTGCTTCTACTCTGTTAGGCAAAAATGGAAAACCTGCATCATCCTGAGAAAATATATCTGGAGCCCTCTTCCTATATTTTTTTTGTAATGCCATATGTTGGGGGAAGAGGTAGAGAGAGAACAGGTACCCTAGGCAGAGATGGTTCTTGTTAATAAGGTCAATCACTACAGCATATACATACGCCTTCAAGATTTGAACCTAGAGCTATTCTTTCATTTCCCATAGATATCATCACTAGCAGCAGCTTACAAAAGCAACACTTTTGTGTGATCTTGGTTTTTCAGATTTTCTCATCTCTCATAAACTGTGTTTATTTATCCAGCTAGTAGCACATTAGGAATTTTGAAAAAGTAATACATGTTTGTGGTAAAAAACAATTAAAATAGTACCAAAGGGCACACAGTGAAAAATAAGGATTCCCCCACAGTAACACCCACCAACGGCATATCACTGTGGCCAGTTTATGGGGTATTTACCAAGCATACTCCATGCACACCAAACATATAGATGTATATATAAATCCCTTTTGTATGCAAAACAACATTCCTTGTCTTCTTTTATTCATTGAATAGATCCTCTTTTTTCACTTCATGGTCGAAAGATGACACTGAGTTCTCTTTGATACTACGCTTATTCTGTTTCCAGGCTTTCTGAATTACATTTCCTTCAAAGTATGCTTCAATATAACCATAATGAAAATGCTGAGAATTATCTGACCCCACTCTGTTATTTGGATCCATCCCAGGTAGATCTTTGATTCAGTCAACAGTATTGCACAGCTTACAGATAGAAGGAAGCAGAAAAGGATACAGAGAAGGAGAAATGACTAAATCACACACCAGTACTCATTAGGGCAGGTGTTTACAACTGTAGATTGTGACCCACAGGGAGGTTGTGAAATCCATTTACTGGGTTTGAAAGTCCAGGATTCATTAGAATGCAAGAAAAGCAGGATAGAAAACAGGCACAGCACCTACAGAAGAGCTAAGTATCATCTTCCAAAACATTCCTGCCAGCGTTACATTCACGGGCATGTGTGTACTGGTTTCCGACACAAAATCTATCCCACCACCTGAAGTCACAGAAAAAAAAAAAAAAAAAAAGGAAAAACATTGTCCCTGAGTTTACTCCTTAGGAGAACAAGTCCATTACATCTTAAAAAAAAGTTTGAAAAAGTCTGAGAACCAGTTTGTTTTTTGGAGATTCAAAACTCATACCAGTATAAAAAGTTCTGCAGTGAAGCTCATTTAACCAAAGGTTTCCCAAAGACAGGCTGCAGAACTCTTCCCTGTGTTCCAGAGATACCGTGAACCTCTTCCAGCACCAGTGCAGGGAGAAGCACAATTTCATCTGCGTTGTCATGGCCTCCAGCTTCTACTGGCAAGCTGTCTTCTTTGAGAGTGCTAAGTCTTTGAGAGTGCTAAGGATTTTGATCTCCTTCTGTCTAGCCCTGAATACGACAAAGAGGGCTAAGACTGCTTCTCAAGTTTCCTCCAATCCGGACATGCTAAGGTAAACAGTCTGGGGCCAGAATGCAAGAACCAGGGTCTTCCCTTAATAATTCCTTCTGCGGCTCTGCTGGTCTTTACTTAAGGAGCACTGGCTTAAGAGCCGAGTCCTGACATCAAGGAGTGATGCAGTAACAGCTAGTCGTCATCCTAGACAAGTTACTTAACTCCTCCATGTCTCCAGTTACCATATCTAAAATAAGGAGGCTGGACACTGATTTTGGAGGTCCCATTTTGCACAAGTGTTTGGGTCTTTTTCTGGTATTTTAAATTTTCATAGTAATCCTGAAAACTTCTCTCAAGCCTATCTCCCCTGCCTTCCTTCTTGACTTACTTTCCAAAGTTTTATTGAGAGTCTGCTCTTTGCCAAGCATTGTATCAACTGCTGGAGATATGATGGTGCACAAATAATTTTTACATCCTGTTCCCAGCAATAATCTGCCTGGACAAAATGGTGTTTCCTTAACTCTGTCCAGTCTTGGCCCATGTGAATTTTGAGAAGGATATTCTTGCTCCTGATCCCTCTCATTACTACAGAAAACATCTACTCTGCTCAAAAATAAATAAGTAAATCCGTGACTATATTTACATTAGAAAATAGATTGTGCCAGCTTTCTATTTGGGATACTTCCCCAATAATACCCCCATGTTCTGTTGGAGAAGGCCCATGATATCTGTAAGTGCTGCCACCATACAGTGGGTGGTCTTAGTTCTTCTTATATTCATGCTCTGAATAAATCCTATCCAGTGGAATTTTGTGCAGGCAAGAATCACTTCTGAGCAGCTGACAGACTGATTTAAAATTAAGTGAAAATGCTTGCGGATGTTAATGTAACCATTCCTTAAAAAGTGTGGAATATCCATGTTAAACCTAAATATCAAATATACTGAGAAGGTGGACACAAAACTAAATGTCCTATAATCTTTAACTGTATATTCTGCAAGTTTTCTTTAAAACGCACATACACACACACAAACAGAAAAACAAAATAAGCAACATATGCTGGCTATTCTTTTAACATTTAGAAATACTTCTGGAATGCCTGCAACATACATGACAGTCACTGTTCTAAACCTTATTTTTAGAAAAATTCCTATGTGCTAAATGACATTAAAAAGGTATACTCTTGGGGAGTGCAGCATGGCTGACTCAGTCAAAGGAGCATGTGACTCTTGATCTCGGAATTGTGAGTTTGAGACCCATGTTGGGTGTAGAGATCACTAAAACAAAACAAAACAAAAACAAAAACAAAAAAACCCCCAAAGTTTAAAAATAAATACATAAAAAAAGTATACTCTCCAAAGGATGGAAGATGATCATTGTGTTGTACTTTGTACTGACCAGATCACAACTGGAATGCTGTTCAATTCTAACACAGCATTTTTAGAGTAATACAGACAAATGAAAGTGTTCTCAGAGAAGCAGGGGAAAATGGAAAAGAAACTTAAAACCATGTCTAAATGGGACTGTTAAAGAGGTGTATATTTTTAGTCTAGAGAAGAGCAGACTATAAGGGCACACAGTAGCTAGCTGGCTGTCTTTGCATTTGTGAAAGGAAATAGTATTTTTGCTATATATTGCTCTGGAAACCAAAATCCAGACAAAGGGTAGAAGTCATGAGGAGGCATGTTTCAGCTCAAGCTCAGATGTGGATTAGACCTTCAATTTGGTACTTGATCACCGGGGGCAGCCAAGCAGAGGCTAAACTATCACCTGCCTGGAATATTGTAGTTTTTAATTCTATTTTCAATATTAGGTTTTTATGTCCCTTCCTTGCCCTTTGATCAGTCAGTGTGAAACCCAGAATCTGATCAAGGAACACACAATTCTGCAAGACATTTGAAGAGCTTTAGCTGGTACTAGTTGGTACAGAACCTCAGGTTTTTTTTGGAACCATGTTATTCGCAGTAAACTGACTGCAATGTTGTGCGTGACCTCATTCATATTTCTGATGTGTATTGCCAAGCAGAAGTACTCTAAAATATCTCATCTTAGGACCTCAAGGACATAATTTCAAGATATGTATAACTTGCAGAGCCAGAAAAGCAGTCTTTTGGCTTTTTAAGAATCGAAACTTTAAGAGGATTTCCTTAAAATAGATTGAGTTCAACTTGCCCTGCAATTTTCTGGAAGAAAACCTGTTATCAATTTTCAGAGAATCAGCCTGGAAAATGCTCCCTGACTTTGAGGAGGAGGATGAAAATCGCACCCCATGTGTATCACATCCTGTGTGTGGGCGGAGTGACTCCATCAAGTGTCACTCATGGATGCGTGCCCTGAGTGAGGGTTGGGGAGTAGGTGACAGGACGAAGCCAAAGAGGGCATATGGCATAAGAAGAGAGAGTGGGGGTGGGAGGTGCGTGCTAGGAGGGTGGAGCTCTGCAGGAGACAGGAACGACTGGCAGGGCCTTTGCAAGCAAGGTTTTCAGCATTCAGCAGAGCAGTGAGAGTAAGCACAGATCCATGCAAGGAGACTGGACAGAGTAAGAGTCCTTTCCTTTCCAGAAGGTATTTAAGCTGCATGAAAGAATTGTAGAGTCTCAGATTTCAAGCCATTGGTATTGAAGAATAGAGAAGCCCACTGATTCTGATGGTAAAAATACTACTTTATATTTGAATACTACCTTTGAAACACTATTTTGAATTGTGTAGTATTTTGAATGGTATTTGAAACACTATTTTTCAAAGTTCTTTGTCATTTAATGGGACCAGATATAACACAGTAGAAACTTCAAGAGTCTTGAAATTTTTGGAATCCCAAACCTGACTAATGACTGCAAAATTCAGGGTATCAAATGTCTTGGTAAGGCCAACGAATTTAGTGGATATCACTAATACCTCTGCATTTTATTTTTGTAGTAACTTGTAAAAAGATCATGTCCCATATTTCACTATTCTCTCCCATTGCGTATTTTGGAAGGTTAGAATTAGTTTTGTGCTGCAAAATTCTGTCCCGAGGGGAATTGGGCCAGGACATTGCTGCCATAGCTTAAAGACATGAACAGCAGGTCCAAGATGTATTTTGTAAGTTTATTCTGGTATTTTCTAATAAACTTTTTTTCTTATGGTTTTAAGGTTTGTACCAGTGATTCCTCAATGAAAGCAGAAATGCTGAGTGTTTTTTTCAAATCAATATTTTTCATACCTTGTAGTTGTACTTAGAAAATGCCAACTCTATTATTTTTCAAATACATTATTAAGAATCCTAGAGGGGGCCTTGGTACCTTAGTCCATTACAAGTCCAACTCTTGATTTCAGCTCAGGTACCATCTCAGGGTGATGATATCCAGCCCTGCGTGAGGCTCCATGCTGAGTGTGGGGCCCGCTTAAGATTCTCTCTCTCTCCCTCTGCCTTCCCCCTCTCCTGCTTGTACTTTCTCTCACTAAAATAATAATAATAATAATAATAATAATAATAATAATAATTCTATTCAGATTCATTTATCAAGAATTTATTGAGGAGAAACCTGAAATACAAGTT